CAGCAGACAGCCGATGTTCCTGCGTACCAGGGGCTCCCCGGCTGTCAGGGAGTGAACATGCGTTGTTCGTGCATGTGATGAACTTTGTCACTTTTGAATAAATGCTCAGCCCCCCCCACCGCTCCCCCAGGTAGAAAGTGGACGGAAGGGCAAGCCTTCTCTCATGGGAGAATCCTGGCCAGAAACGGCTCCATCCCTGCCGCCCTGGGACTGCGGGTCCCGTTTGCCACGTGGACCTGCCACACGGTCTGCCCAGGAGAAAGTGGCACAAAGGACACCCACCCTGCCCCCAGCTCCTGGGAGGCCGCCCCCCCACCTCCTCTAGCGTTGATGGGGTGCGGGCAGCACAGCAGAGCAGGGACCAGGCGGAGTGTCCCCATAACTTCCGGGAAAAATCAGCGCCCTTGACAGCCTGTCTGCACAGCACCTGTTCCTTTTTGAGCCTCCGTGAGTCCCGGGCGCGTCTGGGTCCACGGGCCTGAGTCCACGGCTTCCATTTACTCCGTGCCGTGCTGTTTCAGGCCCTGTTCCACGTTTTCTTTCTTCTCTTTTAATATATTTTTATTATATTTTGATTTCAGAGAGGGAGGGAGGGAGAGAGAGAATCACTGATTGGCTGCCTCCTGCAAGACCACCTCAGTGGGGTCCAGACCGCAACCCGGGCCTGTGCCCTGACGAGGAATCGAACCGTCACCTCCTGGTTCCTAGGTCAATGCTCAACCCCTGAGCCACGCCGGCCGGGCCCATTTCACGAGTTCTACTCCTGAGGGTGTTCGCACAGATCATGAGTCATGTGCCTGTATTCCCAGAGGGCGGCTGGGGGGTAGGGCCCTGCTGCCAGGGGTGCGAGCAGGTCTGCGGAGCCCCTGCCCTGCTGAGCCACCCCTGTACGTACCGACCTGCCCAGTCCCACCCACCCCACCCCCGCCCCCAGGGAGAATCAGGAAGAGGGGGGACACTCAGAGGAGCCCAGAAGGGGAGGGGCCTGCCACTTGACACTAGGCAGCAGGGGAGACCCCAACCTGCAAGCAGGGGGTGTCAGCCGCCTGTGCTCAGAGTGTGAACCGGCTGCTGACCCCGAGCCTCCGGGGGAGGTGTCTCCGGGGCCTGGGAGCCCCGAAGCCCGTCTGTGTGCCCGGCTGAGGCAAGCCTGTTCCAGGAACACCCAAGGCCTCTGCCGGCTGCTTGTTTGACATGGAGGGGGTGCCCCCAGGGTCACCGGCCGGGCAGTGGCCTCTGCTCCCTGGAAGTGTGCCCTCGGGCCGGGGGTGAAAGTCCACAGGGGCAGGGGACACGGCAGAAAAGGGACAGTGCACGGTGGGCAGGTCCAGAGCTGCTCCCTGGCCATGCCGGACCTCGCCAGGGGCCGAGCCTGGGCATGTGTGTGGTGCCATCCTGGTCCTGCGGGGGTCCGGGGGTCCGGGTAGCGAAGTCTTGTCACTTTCCATGGAGCTCACAGCCGTCCCACAAGGCAGCTGGTTTATCCCCATTTTACAGGCGAAGAAACGAAGTCATATTGTGGCCTGAGGTGTCCCAGCGGGATCAGGACTGGACTCCCAGCGTCCAACCCCCCCCACCCCCATTTCCACTGGCCACAGGGTACCCCGGGGTCGCCGTCTGGTCCGGAGGCTCAGCCTGTCCTGGCCTGAGCCCCGAGGTCTCTGGCAGACCAGGAGCGTAGTGCTGAGGTCAGTCTTGGCCCTGTCTCTGAGGGGGAGGGGGTAGCAGGTGCAGAAGCCTGTGGCCTGAGGGAGGGGCCACGCTCCAGGGTAGGGAGAGGGCGGTAGGCAGGGCTCCGGCCAGGTAGCAATGGGTGGCCGCGGGGGGTGGCGGGGGGCGAAGGGAGGTGTCGTGGCTCTGTCAGATCGCAGCAAAGACTAAGCCAAGCCTACGTGATGCACGTTAGCTAGTCATTACTGAAGCGGGGGTGGCTGTGGGAAAGCCACGGGCCCCCTCCAGGTCTGCGGGGTCTGGAACCTTCTGCAGGCCCAGCAACTGCTACTGTCGTACATACTTGCCCCCGCCTTTTTTAAAATATTTTTATTGATTTCAGAGAGGAAGGGAGAGGGAGGGAGAGGCAGAAACATCAGTGATGAGAGAGAATCACGGATCGGCTGCCTCCTGCACGCCCCCTACTGAGGATGGAGCCCACAACCCAGGCCTGTGCCCCGACCGGGAATTGGACGCTGACCTCCTGGTGCACGGGCTGACGCCCACCCACTAAGCCAGCTGGTTGGATGCGAGAACTTCTTGGAGAGTTTTCTGTGAGTTTCATGTAGGCGATTGAAGAAATAGCCTTTCTCCCTCTGCACCTTTAGCTGCTGAAAGTGCCTTTTCTGAATAAAAATGCCGCAGCAGCAGAAGTGCTGGCGACAGTTGTGGGGGTCGGTGGGCTTCGACTTGGAGACCCCTTGTCAGAGCTGTTTCTAAAGCCACCGCCCAGTGCCCGCTGGCCCGGCCCGGCTGCTGAGCGCGTGGCCGTGGCGGGGCCTCCTGGCCGCCCCCAGC